AACATGTATAAACATTTACTTTTTTGAAGAACACTTTTACGATCTTTTTTTTTAAATACGTAAATATAATTATAAATAACTACTGTTGCATGAAGTTTCGACTTTGTTGCTTGAAGTTTTGCTCAATATGAGAGCCTATCTTTAAGTAAGTATTGTGATCCTTTGATACCAAACCCATGGAGAGAATGATTATAGGCACTTTCAATCCATTTCAGGTAGAGCTCTCGCGCCGTGATCGGAAGGTCGTGTGTTCAAATCACGGCTGCGACCGACCTAAGTCGATAAAAAATAGGTAGCAACTGTTCCTTCGTCAAGCGCTCGGCACTTTGAAGTGAAAGTTGCGGGTCTTTCGGATGAGACCTAAAAACCGAGGCCCCGTGTCACGGTAGGTTCAAACTTTTTTCATGTTTTTTTTTCACAACCAATTTTCCCCCAATACACTAAATTCCTAAACTTTACCTATGCTACAGCAAATAGGGGGGGGGGGGGGTAGTCTTTCAAAGAACATTTTCAAAGTTCGGAAAAAAGTGGGAAGGGGCCCTGCGTCCCCGATTCTTCGTGCCTGATAAATAACTTGTTTTCAGACTTGTCCACAATGACAGATAATTTTGTTCCACAGTACTTATATTGTGTGAAACACTTACACTGCCATAATGGGGTGAAAGAGTTTTCTAGACAGGTAACATTGTGAAAAATGAACCCATCATCCAATACAGCTTTTTATTTTTTTTTTGTCCGAAATTCTTTTTTGGACCTTTCTGTCGCTTTCTCATTCCAGTCTTCTTTTAACTTCACTGGATCCTCGACAGATAAGAAATTACAACTCTGGTATATGTGGAATGATCTTAAGTAGAATATACGGGTTAAAAATAAAGAGCCATAGCTGCCTCTCAGACGACACGGCTGACTCAAGAATTTAAAAGGAAATCACCTGATTCTATTTATAGATATACCTTTTCAATTCAAGATCAAACTATGTAATATGATTTGAGGACGAGTGTTATATTTTCGTAGTTGCATGTATGTCAAATGACAATCATTTAATTTGTTCAGTACTCAAATTCTGAGACAAAAGATTTATAAAATCAATAAAAATAAAACAAGTAGCTATGAATTTGCAAACTTTAATAAAATAGTTTAGGACTGTTTTTTCCCGAGCTACTTTCAAAGTTTATATTGTGTATATTATAACTTTCTGAACTTATGTATATCATAAAACGTAATAAAGAAAAACGTAGAAAAGATACACAAAGAAAAACAAATTTAAGAAAGCATAAATGGAAAAATGTGGGACGAACTCGCTATCACCATATTTACATTCCAGCAATCATACCATTGCGCCAACGAAGTCAATGACTTTGAATGAATAAATTTAAGACAGATTGCTAAATCTTACGATTATATGAGAAGAAAGATTGAATATATATTTTCATCATTTTCAATATGAAGACCACCTTTTAACCAAAATTAGAAGTGCAGTCATATCCGAATAAAATCCTTCAAAAGTTTTTTTTTTCTGGTCAAGGGTGGTCTTTGACAACAGTTTGTCATCTTTAGGTGGATACCTCAATATTTACTATATACTCCATACAAACTGGATAATTTTCATATTTATCATATGAGGAAACTATTATTATTGAAATATCATTAATGTGTGGTATGGTTTTACGCATGTATAAACTAAGATTGTATGACAAAATTTTGATTAAACAATGGATTTAAGGAATCACTAGTAGAGTAGGCGAAAATACCTATCAAATGCGCTGTGGCTCTTTTACTAGGTGAAATATGAGCCTTTGTTTTTTATATTGCTTTGCATAATATTAACGGCAATGTCTACAATATACAGATGCAGATGCAACACGCTTATATTGTGCGTGTATTATAAAATCTAAAAATATATTGAAACATCAACAGTGCACTTGTATAAATGACTGAAAACATAAGACTTCAGAATATTAGTTAATCTGATCAGTCCTGACCAAGAGCATCCAAGAGATTGGGAATTTACCCCCCCCCCCCTTTCCAAAAAAAAGGTGTTGCAAGGGGACCTATTGTGACGTCATCTTTGAGTTTATTGCGTAATTTATTTACATACATGCAGACGTCAACTAGGCCGTTTCAGTAGCAAGATGATATAAAGGCTAGGATTTAAGCATTTTCTTTTCTGCAATAATACTTTTAGTGATTTCACTTATCAGCTGAACATTCTTATTTTATTGCTTTAGTATAATAAATTGATCTCTTCCCTTCTTGTTGGCAACATTTATCAAGTGTAAGGCTTGGTTGTTTAAAAAGATACCGTAATTTCTCAATTCTATAAAACATTTTTTTAGTTTTTATGCTATTTTCATGACAAATATATTTGTATGAGCAATATAAATATGGTTAATCAATGATAAATTTATTTCTTTAACATTATTACACGAAATACACCATTATTATTGCTCCTAGATAAGAACTTGCCTCTCGACTAACTTGGTATCCGCCACCGGAAATAGTCATGAAATGTCAAAATTAACAAACTGCACATTCCTCGAGCAAATTCTTACTATTATTTTTGCTTGTCTTTTATCAAATTATTTTCAAATATATATGTTTTATTTTGCTCGAGGGGTGTGCACTACTTCAATTTTGGGAATTTGTTGTAAAAATAGTGGAAAAAATAGCAATTTCCGGAAAGAACGGATGTTTAAATCCCGTGAATACCTCTAATCAACGTACTTGCGAAATTTTGTTATGCATATATCAAAACTACCAATCTTCTTCTACATGTACATAGTAGTTATATTTTTGCAAACTTGTATATCAAAATACGAAAAATTGTGGGCCTTCGAATAATACGTAACGTACTTAGTTCTTTAAAATCTTTATCATTGTAATATCGTTATTTTACATGACGTTTAAAATGTACACTGCAACTCTGTCCATTCAAGAATTTTAGAGGACGTTTAGTCTTTGTAATACTGTTCATAATACACACTTTTTATTATTGATAAAAACAATTTATTTCATCATTGGTCAATAAAATTAATGTCTATCGAATAAAAAGTAAGGAGTCCGACTGACTTGAATATACATGTATTTTTTTGCAAGTCCAAGGACTAAATAAGTCAATATATATACATGAAAGTGAGTCTGTAAATTATCATAATAGAGGTTAACACTAAGAAATTCATTATTTACAAGCTTATCAGACAAAAACTAGAAAAATGATGAAACTTATATAGAAATTTTCGAATTCTAAGAGTCAGAATTCTGGTGAGAATGGGGCCATCAGCAGGAAACTGAAGTGTGATAGGTAAATCATTAATATTATAAGTATACACTAAAAACCGTCTGATCATCTATAATGCATAGCCAAAAAAAATTATAAATAAATAAAAAAAAATGATAATATTAAATAAATAAATAAATAAATTTTGAAGAAAAGAGAAGTCCGGAAAACAGTAAATAATTAGAAATTTTCAAAGTCTAGGGGCAATAACTTTTGTGAAAATGGGTCAATCGTCATGAGACTTGAACTTGATCTGTAACTCATCAATATAAAGACAAAAACCAAAAATCAGCTCACAGCTAAAAAAAAGTCTGGAAAACTATGACAGAAAGACAGAATGATGTAATGACGGAAGGAAAAGGGTAACACTAAATCGCTATATGCAAACATTCTGATATCAAGTTTATATATAGTAATTCGTACTGTAAAATTCATATTTTACTAATATAATTTGCAATTGCAAACTGATAATTTGTAATTACAACTTGCTAATAATTTGTAATTTCAAATTGAATATTTGTAATTTCAAAATGATGATTTGTAAAGAAACTAAGGAAAGAGCTTCCGTAGAATTTTGGTCGAAGTCGTCCAATCTCACTAAAGTCGAGGCGTAATCGATGGAAAAAACTTGATCTAAATTTTTGTATATTAAGTTTATTTTACAATTAAAATGAAATAAACAGAGCAACTGGAACCTTAATATCAGGCCCATAAGAAGGGGGGGGGGGCGTGCCCCTTATAATTTTGTGAGTATATACTATACCATAGAAAACAAAGTCAATTTACGATTCTGCCCCCCTCAGGTCAGATGTTTTTTTTTTTCTCCCCTTCCAAACTGAAACTGCTTCCTACGGGCCTGGATATTCAAAATAAAATTTAGGTTTTAATATCCTCCCAAAATTCTTATATTTTTACAGCTCTAGAAACACGTAAAATAAGCAGTTCGTAATTTGACGTCGGTATTTGCCTATATTGTGCTAGATTTGAGGTCAAGTGATGATTTTCGGAAATACAAGTCCTCATAAGACAGGAAAGGGTCAAGGATCGCAAAAAATCTGTTTACTGCGCATTTTGACCGCGGAGAAACTATTCACTGCTCATGCACTTGGGTAGTCAGCAACATTATATAAGCCACAAAGGTGTTTCGGGGCAAATTATCGTGAATAGATACCGACCGTATCATCACATGGGAATGTGGAACAGCGAATCTCAATACCTGCGACATGAAATTTGGTATATGGAAGTGGTTAAGTTGAAGACTGACAATAGATTATATCTACAAGAATAAGTGTGAAACAGGAATGACTTAAAAAGAGAGTACACTAACTCTGGTAAGCCAACCCTCTTCTTTCAAGACAGTTTTTTAAGAATATCAGTATATATTTTTTTGTTTGTTGTTCGATTTGTTTTAGTCTGTATCTGTATGTTTTAAACTATCGAAATATTGAATTGATTGTAGGGTGAAATAGTCCCTTTGCCCTTTGATCAACTAATGCAAGATGAGTGGCATTTTATTATTCTTTTAAAAAAATATACATTTATGGATAAATTGATACACATTTAAATGAGATAAATTTTTATATATATATATATATATATATATATATATATATATATATATATATATATATATATATATATAAATCCAGATACACTTAGCGCTTTCGCCGTGCGGCTCTTCACAGTGTAAGGAGCCGCACGGCGAAAGCGCTAAGTGTATCAAATGGGAACTTGTTTGTTTATCTTGGATTTAATTTTAATTCATAAGTTACCTATACCATGGATTTTTACTACAGTTTCACTATAAAAATATATATATCAATTTTTTTCACAACTATTTTCAAATAATCAAATTACATTTTCTTCACCAGGAATGATGCGTTATTGACTAGCAACAGCAATCATCGAAGTGAAACTTATTTTCGCGCCTTTTTTTAAGAAGAAAGAATCAAGACAAAGAAGAAGATACCGTGGGGAGAGACGTTATCCCAGACTGTCGCGATACTCTTGCATGCTTTCTCTGCCTGCATAATCTTTTGTTGCACTAACAGAAATAGCTTATATTTTATGCAATTGATGTTACAGCATATGCAATTAATTGATCTGTTTTAAAAAAAAGTCGTGCTCTCCAAATTCTTATTTTGTATTCTATTGTAGACAATGTCACAGAGACAAAGGAACGCTCTGATATTTCATGCAATGCTGAAAATATAGAAATATTCCTTCCTAAAAATCTCCTCCCGGTGGCATCAAAAGTTACCTGGTTAGATCCAAACTGCAACATTGCCAGCAACAGTACCCATTACGTATCTACCGTGAAACATGGAGAATGTGGAACAACGGTTAGCCTCACGGCAGACAATGTTATTTTTGAAAACGAAATCAGAGCTAACCCTCTCTCAACAACAGATCATTTGTTGGACTTTGGAACCAAGCCATACACGATTCCGGTAAAATGTATATATCCCAGGAAGGAAATGGCGTTATCATCATATAAGCCCGTTAAACAGCAGGTGCGAGTTTATGAAAAGCGATTTGGACATCTGGATATAGATATGCGACAGTTTGAAACAGATCAGTTTAGTCATGCTCTTGACAACTCTACTATTCCGAAACTAGAACTGAACTCCGATACCTTTATAAAAGTTGAACTGCAAAACTTTGGCTCTGCTGATCTCGGAATACACCTTGACACATGCATAGCAACAAAAACTCCCACGCCATATGATAATATGTTTATAAAATTAATTGAAAATGGGTAAGTCACCTAATCCAAAGTCTCTAATTTAGAGAAAAAAATAAATAGAAAAGAAGGCAACCCCAGATCTCACTAATGAAAATGTATAATTACTAAAACCTTTTCAATACTTTAATTGTAGATGCCCAAAAGTCAACTTTGTTCATCTTCTTCCTTCCTCAGCCCTTGAGGCAAGGTTCAGTTTGAGGGCATTCGAGTTTACGTCTAGTCAATCTAACATTGTCTACATCCACTGTCAGGCTTCCGTGTGCCTGGCGAATTCCTCTCAATGTAACCCCGATTGTTCATCCAGCGATCGAACGAAGCGTGACGTCAGCTCTGGCCCCTCCCACTTGCTGTCTATGGGTCCTTTGGTGCTTTCTGTAGAAAGTGGTAAGTTCTAAACCATATCAGTGTCACAGCGTCTATAAATACATATGTAACAATTAAGCAAGTCATTTGAACACATGTTGAAAATGTCAAAGCCCGAGTTCAAAATTCTTGTCTTCGATATTAATCAGATTGGGTGATAATGTAGAAGATATAGGACAAATGTATGATGTACTGAGAGACCTGCTTGCATTCGCGCATTTTGGGCGAGAGCGCGAGATAATTCTAGAGGACCACAACGCGATTGAGAGAAATCAATTAAGATCCCCATGCATTGTCTCTTGTTCCCTTGCGTTGTCGCTCGCGCATTCTCGTGTTATCGCCGCTTTATTCTCGCTGTCTTGTTGTCTCTTGTTTTCGCAAGCTGGTGACCTTATCAGATTGTTGTCTTCAAAATTCAAAGAGCAAGACGAAAATTTTTGACCAGAGAATAGCGGTCTATTATAATAATTCAATTACTATAGTACTGGTGCACAAACTTCTATGTCGGGTAGTATATTTCCTTTCGTGATGAAGATAACTTTTGTATTTTGGTTTTAAACAGATTGTACAAGAATAATATACAAGTTCTATCACATTACGGCTGTTAAGTATACAGTTAAAACACGTTGTATGTAGCAAAGAGTGTCAATTACCAATTTTTATTTTGTTCTACATTTTCAGCTCCTTCTTCAAATCTGATCGCAAACATCATTGCAGGAGTGTCTGTCGCTTTTGCAGTAATAGCCATGGTGATTGCCACAAAGGAATGGCGAAAGAAAAGAACTGTAGTTGTCAGTGACAAAAGCTTGGGCAAAATTGACTCTTAAAAGTTGTTTAGCAAAATTGATTGAAAATGTTAGAGATGCTTGAGCGTTGCAATGATAAGCTTTCTCATAAAGTGAATGTACATAATTACCGTATGTAAGATAAAGCATAGAAGGATTATATAATGTATTGAATGCTAATATTCTTGAAAAATTCTAATAAGTAAAATGTTATCTTTGGAAGATACCCGAATAGTTTCCAAAATTGTCAATATTAAAATGATCCTAAATATCTATTTGTTGATATATATATATATATATATATATATATATATATATATATATATATATATATATATATATATATATATATATATATATATAAAGTAGTGTTTTCGAATCACGGCCGCGACTGATCTAAGTCGATAAAAAATAGGCAGCAACTGTTCCTTCGCCAAGCGCTCGGCACTTTGGAGTGAAAGTTGCGGGTCTTTCGGAAAAAACCGAGGCCCCGTGTCAATGTAGGCGTTGGCACGATAAAGAACCCTCGCTGCTCAATGGCCCTGGGTGCCGAGTAAAGATCTAAATTTGAAGCCCTTCAGCGGTATATGGTGACGTCTCTGCATGAGTGAAAAATTCTCGAACTGGACATAAAACAACACACAATCAATCAGTCAATCATTAAAGGGGATGCAATGCTGTTGATATGCAAATCTTAATTTTTACTAGCTGGTGATGTATATCGTTTTGTAGATAAATCGACAAAATAATGAACGAATGTACATCACTGACAATATTTAAGTACATGTAGTCTTCGGAAACCGGGTTTTCCAACAATCTGTTGGATTCTCTATCATGGTTACTTGTTTAACACCGTTATTAGCAGACCTGTTTTTATATTAAAGCAGAATTAATACATTCAAAATCTCCTACCCGAAACTAAAAAGTCCCTTCTGGTGGTCTTTAACTCGTACAGAAATTTCGACGACATTTCATCAATTTACAATATCCATTTTCATTGCTACATTGATTCGATATATATCTGCTTCGTATTTGGATATTTTACTAGAGACAGAAATTTATGGCAAACTAACAACTAAACTTTGTGATGAACGTGATGACTTCAAATTTTTTATCATCTTCCTGTATTTAATATGGAGTTTATGTCTCTCAGTTGAATCGATACGCAAAATGCAGGTTATTGACAAAAAAGTTGATGATCCAAGAATATCAACAATCTCGTTTAGAGTCAAAATTTCGCAAATTTCGATGCAATGACATTGTTTGCAAATACAACCTGTTGTTAGGTCGAGAATATTAAACGTATTTTTTCTTACAAATTGTTAGGCTATTATTTTCATTCATTTTTTCCGTTTCCTGATCATGAAAAGGGACACACGGCGGGTATGATCAGTCGACAGGGGATGCTTACTTTTGCATGGCACCTGATCCCACCTCTGCTTTCAGAGGTCCTTGTTTTCTCTTCTCACAATTCGCATATTTTTTTATGACATCAAATTCATATCTTGCTCACAATATAATTATATAAGCGGTATAAATTATTTTTTTAATTCAATCAAAGGAAAAAAAATTTCAATATTTGAATGATACAAAAATGATTAAAGTATTGAAACTATCTATCTTGTTCCCTTGTTGCGTGACCAAAATGCGTGAGTTTTACGGAAAAAAAAACTCTTAAAATATTATGAATCGCATTCGATATCCGTAGTACATATAGCATTATCGAGGAAAACTGACACTGGTAGGGAGATCAACAGCTGTTGAATTTAAGTACACATATATATACCCTTTTTGTCTCTGAACCTAGTTTTTGAGAGAGTTTGCTTGTCTATTTGTACCATGTTTTTTGGAACTGGAAATATTATTTTATCGGTACTGGCTCTAGTGGTGACTCTAGGGCAAGTGTACTGCCAAAACAATGAAGCAGGGACACTGAAGAAAATTGATGATTGTCGTAAAAAATGTGCAGATGACCCGATACCTCTTTGTAGGAAAGCAGACGCACGTTGGGATTGCATTAGGAAATTCTATGCGTACTGCAGAGATTGCCAAAAGTTTGAAAGAGAGTTAAAGAAATCGCTCAAAAACCCAGTAATCGCAAACATCAACAATGACTGCACACCAATATGCCGCACCAAATTCCGACGAGTTTGCTACCGGGGAAAGTGTACCACTAAAAGTAAAAAGAAGTGTAAACCAGGCTGTGCTGGTGGAAAACCCAAGCGTAAATGTTGGACAAAATGTCGAAAAGTTAACAAGAAAGTATGTCAAAATGGAAAATGTACCCGGAAACAGCAGCTAATTTGTAAAGAAAATTGCAAGGTAATAATATATAGTTATCAATTATCATCGTATATTATATTCTTATTATATAATATTGATATATTAATAATATAATATATATATTATATAGGGAGATGATATAAAAGTTTTTTGTATTTCAATTTTTGAAATAAATTTATACTTACTGTGTTTTTTTGTTTCAGGTCTAACAATACCAGCAGCTTATTTCGAAACAAAAAATAATTATTAAAGAATAAATGAATACCAAATGCTTTTTTTCTTTCAATTTTTCATTAACTGGGCGTTTACATGTTATTTGTGTTTAGACTAGGACATTGATCATTTGATTCGAACATATTTTATTGTAATTATAAATAAATAGGTATTGTATATAAACAATTAAAGGGATGGGCACAAATTCTTAAAACTTAGAACGCCTTCTCCCTAGCATTGATTAAAAGTGTACACTATTTAAACCACTAATGATATTACAGACTTAATTAATTTCTCTGTGATGGGACGAACAAATTAACAAATGTTTCAATTGCTACATGTTTCAACCCCCTTCCATTTTTAAAGTTATACCTTAACCATAATTCTGCCAAAGAAGCGGTAATACGTTATTTTTTCTAGGTCTCAAGATCATAAACTGAGAACAGATTAAAATTAATATAAGCTACACTGTATGAAAAAATTCTGAAAATTGTACTTGAATATCAGACAAACTTGCAATTTTAAAACATGTTTGTTAAATTAAATCTAATATATTCAAAATCTAAATTTTGACTTCAGTATGTTTTCTCTATTAGCAAGTTTCCTCACAAGAATTGAAGTACATGTACATTACCAGACAATTATACAAGATTCCACTGGATAGCACGATGTATTTCCCACATAGCCCTCATAGCCCTATATGGAAATCTGTTAAACTGCTGATATCCCAATTTTTGGTGTGTTTTTTTCTGACACATTTTGAAACTAGTTTAGAAATCTCAAAATAATGATAATAAATATTTTTGGTTAATTACGAAACGACAGAAAAAAAATTCGATAAACCTTAATGTCATAAGGTCATAATTCTTTTAAGTATTTATTCATTTATTTTATTTTATTTTATTTATTTATTTTTTTTTTTTTTTGAGTCCAAGAAAAAATGTTTAGAATATTTAAATAATACACAAATGAGGTGAGAGTTAATACGTGTTAGAAATATAATATGATAATTTACAGTGCGTGAGTTTCAGCACTAAATATTACAATCTGCTGTACTTATGATGCTGCTGATTGAAGTTGATACTATGATAGGGAAAACAGCAGCTGTTGAATGTAACCGCCGATTCTTATTCCTCTTTTTAAAACTGACTGTAGCTTTTTTTTAAGTTAGTTTTTAGCTCTACTGGTCAGAGACCAGAAGAGCTTATGCGATAGTCAGGTGTCCGTCCATCTGTCTGTCTGTAAACAATTTTTCAAAATGCTACTCCTCCTACAGTTTTGGTCTGATTTCAGTATAACTTGGCACACAAATAAACTATACTAAGATACATAATTTTGTATATCGGTTTTTGATTTTGGTGAACTGTGTTGCCATGGTTTCTAAAAATAGAAATTTCTCTGAAATACATGCAAAATGCTACTCTTTCTACAGTTTTGGTCTGATTTCAATATAACTTGGCACTTATCGGTTTTTGATTTCAGTGAACGGTGTTGCCATGGTTTCTAAAAATAGAAAATTCTGTGAAATACATTCAAAATGCTACTCCTCCTACAGTTTTGATCTGATTTCAATATAACTTGGCACACAAGTAGACTACACTAAGAGACATAATTCTGTGTATGAGTTTTTGATTTAGATATACGGTGTTGCCATGGTTACTAAAAATAGGAATTTCTGTGCAATACCTTCAAAACGCTACTCCTCCTACATTTTTAGTCTGATTTCAATATAACTTGGCACACAAGTAGATTACACTGAGATTCATAATTCTGTATATCCATTTTTGGCGAAGTGTTGCCATGGTTACAAAAAAATTGAAATTTCTTTGATATACTTTCGCCTACTTCGCCTACAGTTTGGTCTGATTTTAATATAACGTGACATGCAAGTAGACTACACAAAGATACACAATTGTCTTTATCGTTGTTTGATTTAAATGAATGATGTTACCATGGTAGCTAAAAAATCAAAATTTCTTTAAAATTCTTTTAAAAGGCTACTCCTTCTACAGTTTTAGTCTGATTTCATTTCATCCTGCAACAAAAAAAAAGAGTAAAACAAGGATTATCATTTATTTATTGCTGTTGCAAAGTTTCAAGTCCAAGTGCTACTTTTCTCTTCCTTTGTTATAAGTACAAACCAGTAGAGCTACAGTCTCGACAGAGACTTCCCGTTTTTCTATTAATACTATGATTATAGCAATAATAGACGCTGTTCTACAAGTACTGGCTCTAGTGGCAATTATATGGCAAGTTTCCTGCCAAGAAAAAAAAGACTTATGGTAGATAAGAATGATTCAGAGACGCTAATGAAAATTAATGAATGTCACAAGAAAGTTTCAGATGACTCGAGAAGACTGTATAGAAATGAGAAAAAATTGAAACGATAAAATTTGTACAATTTGGAATAAGAAAGAAAATTCTCAGTTAATTCTCAGTCAATTTACAAATTTTGTTCATAACTTGGAACTTGTGACAATAATTTATCTTGCCACAGGGTATAGCATGTATTCCGAGTGTGAAGATTTGCATGGGATATTGCGCGATATTGAGCGATAAATAGTTTGCTAACACCTTTCCGTAGAGATTTGTGTTTCATAATGGAATATACAGTCCAAAGAATATAGCGAGTAAGGCAGTTGCTCTCTGAGAAGTGGCTGAAGCAGAATAAATATCGAAATGATACATATTAATATAGGCAGGGATCTATATACTAAGTATATTCGTCCATGATAGAAGTCATTTATTTTTACTATGGGAGTATCGGCAATATTT